CTTTTCCAATGACTGTGGATATCATAGCATTCTGGAAACTTCTGCCTGCCATTATCAGAGGGCAGACCATTAGACCAACTTCTCTGCCAGACACTAATCCCCTATCAGCACAACCACAAAATCCTTTCTGAGAAACCATTAAGAGAAAGGGAGTTGTCCATTGGGTCATCAGACCCCTGCAGTGTCTCCAAGTAAGGCTGGTTGGGGGTTATCTGAAAAACTAGCTCTGTCCTCATTACAATGTAATGTGCTTAATTAGTGAGTGCTGGGTCCTGTCTGGAGAAGGGATAGAGGAAATGGGGACCCAGAGAGAGGCAGTGAAGGGTTCAAGGTCACTTAACAAAAGTATATTCCCAAGCCAAGTCTAGATAGAATCCAGATCTCTGACTACTTGTCTGGACTACATCGATCTCTCTCCATGACTCTTTGCCTTGGGCCATCTGGTCAACCATCACCCTTGGGGAAGCCAGTGACAAGGCAGTTCACTTCAGCCCTTATCACTGAGGAATTCAGCAGACTTTTGGACTTTTTTTCTCATTCATACCCGCATTCTGAACATCCTTGCTATCCCTCCAGATTCTAGATGTACTGACAGCTGGAAAGATTCCCTGTCAGGATACCGATCCCATGATGGGATGGAGCTGGAGAGTGGGCTTCATGGAGAACTTTAGAAAAGAAGAACAATAAAGCCTGGAGACGTGAAAGTGCCCAATACATTCAAGGTCTGTGAGAAATAGTGTAGCTGGGGCCCCTGGGGGCTTGGGAAAACAACTGAGATGCAGCCTGGGGTTGTTTTGGGAAGAGCCTTGAATAGCAAGTGTTCAAGTATGAGATTGGAGTTTTAGACTATGGGGAACTAGCAGAGATTTGAAGCAGGTAATCCAAGATGGAGACCCCAGATTTTTACAAAGACCCTCTGGGGTTGTGTGAAAGGCCGATGGAGAGGTTGACTTATTGCACCAGGTCCAGGTAGCAATTGATAAGGCCTGGATTGAGACAGGAAAAGTGGGGACAGAGTAAAGGACTCATTGAGCAAGTAAAATTAGCAAAGCTTGGCTAATCCCTGCCTCTACCCAGAGACTCCGGATTTCCTGCCAACTCCCTGTCAATCACCTTCCCTATCCAGGTCACCTGGCCGGGGACACTATGGCAGAGGACACGGGGTAGCAGGACTGGGATGATGCTGCAGACTCTTTGCTTCTAACTGGATCTCTTTGTGTGAACCCAAGAACTGCTGGGGAAGGTATGGGCATCCAACCTGGCCCTGAGTGACCCCTGGCCACAGTTAGGCTCAGGAGAAAGCTCTGCTTTGGGGCTCCTCAGTTCTAGGGTGAAGGTTAGAGTTGTGAGAAGGGGAGCTGTTAGATGCCAAAGGCTCTGAAAAACGAGGCACAAGCAATGACCCCATCCCTGAAGTGAAAGCCCAAGACCCAGCCACCAGCTGAGAAGTCGTCTGCTTTTCTGAGTAAGGTGTTAAGTGCAGCAGCCTGGATGTGATGAGACAGGAGGAAGAACTTCCTGTCTGCAAAGTACAAGCGCCACCCTGGGTAATCTATGCTCCTGAAGTTTGTCAAATTAGGGCCCCCTTTCCCTGCCTGGGATGATGGGAGGAGACAGGCAGGTAGACAGAAGATAGAAAAGAAGTGGGCTCAGAGATGTTCCATTTTCTGCCCTCATCATTACTCCAGAAAGTCCCTCACATGCTGTTTAAAGACCCTTGGGCACTCTGGTGCCTACGTGGTAAGGAGTTTCACTGGCAACTCAAAGAACACAGTTCAAATCCACCAGCTGCTTTGTGGGCAAAAGATGGACAATGTACTGTCTCCTGAAGGGTCTGCAGTGAGTTAGTTGGGACTTGATGACACATCACAACCACAATAGCTCCCATGACAGAGAATGGATCCTTTCACAGAGGGAAACTGAGGACACGCAGGAAAGGGGACCAAAGGCTGGACCACAGTCCAGCTTTCAAGGAAGCCCCTTCACTTGGCTTTTGCTTTTGAGCTAGTAAGAAGAGGAGATTTTGTAGCCCAGGAGGCAAGAGACAAAGGAGGTAGCAGGAGAGAAGGGCAGGTGGGATAGGAAGGAGACCATGAAATCAAGATGGAGAAAAGAGCAGAGACATGCTCTCAGCTTTGCAGAAGGCTCTAAAAGAAGCTGCAGCACGGTGTCTTCTTATTGGGAAGGGGCGCAGTGGGGTGACAGGAAAGCGTTACAGCTTGATCTGGGTCCAAAGGTGTCCTCAGGCTAAAATGCACGGAGCCATCACTTCTCCTCGGTGTATTTTTCCACACTTTAAACATCTCAACCCTCAGTCCCAGGGCATCGTCATACGGCTGGCAAAAGTAGGTGGCAGAGACTGGCTAAGACCTTAAGTTCTGGAATCAGATTGATCGCCTGCCACTTCCTGGTTGGGGTACCTTGGACAGGTTACTCAGCCTCATCTAGACAATGGGGACAGTAGCACCGCCCACTTCCAGGGCTGCGGCAGTGATCACATGCCAAGGATTCCAGTCTGGCATGAGGACTGTCCAACAGGGTCAGTGGTGACCACAAGAGGCAAAGCCAAGCCCCGGCCAGGCCCTCCCACCAGGCTAACCTGGCCCATTCCAGCCCAGGTACTGTCTTAATTCCCTGCACAACCAGTCTGAATGCCCTGCCCACTGACAAGTGACAGCTCTGTCCACCGCAGAAGAGGTCTCAACACTGGCAGTTTCCCCTGCCCCCCTCTGTGGCCTGATTTCTCTTCCTCTTCCAGTATTTTTACAGTTTTTCACTAACTGTGCAAAGCCTTGCCTCTCTGCAAATCCAGATTTGCCAACTGTACCTCCCCGGGGCTCCTCCCCTCCTGGGAGGCTGAACTCTGCCCGGGCCATGAGAAAGCAGAAAGAGAATTGGCTTGCTGGGTGATGGGGCAAGAGGAAGACAGAGGATGCAGATGCAAGTTTGGGGTTAGAAAGACCTTTGCAGAGTGCCGAGCTCAGAGGGTTATGGCGACATTCCCTGGAGTGTCTAGGGAGAGTGAGTTCTTGTTACAAGTTAAATCCAAGCAAAGGTTTTTTTTCAGCCCAGGGTCAAACCTGATCCCCTTAGGCTTCCTTCCAGGGAGGTTTCCTTTGGGATGTTTAAGGATTTCTTTGCGGGTCACTGGGGTGCTGGCCATCAAAGGATGGGCAGGAAGGATTCAGGTGAAGCAGGTAGCTTTGTCCCTTAAAGGTCATTCCTTAGGGAGCTCTGGTGGCCCAGTGGCAAGAAGCTGCGCTGCAATCCCAGAGGTGTGTGGTTCGAATCCATCAGATTCTCTTCTGGAGAAGGAGGGACAATCTCCTCCTGTACAAATTAGATTCAATTTTAGGGTGCGTGCGCACACACACGCATACACACGTCATTCCAGGAACACTTCAGGGCAGAATACTCATTCTGCAAGTTCATGGTCTGGGGGTGATGTTGCCTCCAGCAGGGACTGGGCACCAGACAGAAGCCGCATGGCTCCAAGTCTTTTCTATAAAGAGGCTGGTGACCTCCTCCCCTCCTTTAGTGACCTGTTGTACAGGAAGAACTTGTTTTGAAAGCGCAGTGAAAAGATTTCGAGGTAGATAGTAAGGAAAGGTTTCCTGAGAGATAGGAACCCTCATGCCATAAGAGAAGATGCAGCTTGTCCAGCTCGATGTCCAGCTCCACGGTCATGGTCACGGCACCCTGCTCTTCTCATCTTCCCTGCCGGCTTTCAGAACAGTCACAGCAGGATACAGACATAAAAAAACTCTCACAATAGCTCCCAAAGCACTGATAGATCATTGTGTGGTGCTGGCAACACAAAGGTTCACTGGTTTGAGTCTCCCATCCTGTCATGTGATTTGCAACGTCTGAACACCTGAGGGACGAGCATTTACGAGTCGGTTCTAATTTATTGGCAATGAGCGAGTTAGTGCTTCCCTCAAAGGAAGTGGCTTCCTTTTCCATGTCACCTCTGCTTTCTCCTCTCTTGGGCATGTGTATGTCTGACAGGTCTGTTTTGGGGAGAGAGAGTATGTGTGTGTGACCTGGGCTATAGGCAAGACCCTGATCAAGGGGCAGGGAATATACAGATTATCTCGATCCAAAAATACAGAAGACCTCAGAATCAGAGAATCAGAGTCTACCTGTGCCCACTTCACAGATGGGCAAAGTGGAGAACGAGAGACATTCAGAGCTCACTGTCTCCCAGTCAGACTGGAAGAGGCTGGTTCCTCCCTCCTCTCACCCCAGGCCCAAAAGAATCTGAGGGGAAAATCTGCTAACCCCAAGGCTGGAACCTCTCTAGCAGTTCAAATACACCGAGGGAGAAAGATGGACAATCCCTGGCCATGGACCTAACGCCAGATAGGTTTAGTTGTTGGTATGTGCTGTAAAATCGAGTATGACTCATTAGCCACCCTATGAACGAAAGATCTGAACCCTGTCCTATCCTGTGCCAACCTCATCATTTCTGAGATAACTGAGCCCACTGCTGCGGGGCAGAGTGTCAGTCCATTTCGTGGGGGTCCTCTTCCTTTTCACCCACTCTCCACATTTCCAAACATGATGTCCCTTTCCAACAAATGACCTCTCCTCACAACACGCCCGTGCCTCCAAGATGCCTCTGACTGCAATTTCTCCAAGACACATCTGTTTTTTCGTTCGGCAGTCCACAGGACACTCAGCAGTCTTCTCTACAGCTCAAAGGCATCCATTCTTTCCCCATCATTTTTTTTTCATTGTCCAGCTTTCAGATGCATAGCAAATGATTGAAAGGACCAAGATATGAATCAGGTGCACCTTAGTCATCAAACTGATATTATTGCTCCTCAATAGTGTGAAGTAGTCTCTGACTTCAGACTTTCTGAATGTAATACGTTTCCTGATCTCCTGACTGCTGGTTCCAAAGGCATTGATTGTGGATCCAAGTCAGATGAAATCATTGATAATTTCAACTTTTCTCTATCTATCATGATGTTGCCTATAAACCCAGAGGTGAAAATTTTTGTTTTCTTGATTTTAAGATATAACCGTAGTCTTTGATCTTCTGCAACCTATGATTTACAGCCTCAAAAACCTAATGAAGTGTCAGCCATGAGTCAGTTCTAAGCAAATGGCAATGAGAGGATACATGGGCAGGTCTAGAACCCTAGGACACTTAACTTGTGGTATCTGCTTGTGAGCTGATTGGGGATTGCTGAAGACTAGATACCAAGGAATTGTTAATTTTATTAGGTATGATAATTGCAATATAGGAGAACGCCTTTTAGTTTCTCAGATGCATCTTGAACTATTTTGGGGTGGAATGTTATAACATCTTGTCACTGAAAGTTTTTCAGTCAAAAAGGCAGCTGATGCAAAAATTAACTGTTAAGTAGTAGCATCAGTCAAGCCTAGATATTGAACATTTGCATAATCGTTATGCTATTCTACTTTTTGAAAAATTAGGTCTAAAATTTTTATGATACAAGTTAAAAAAAAATGCATCACCATATAGGTGGTGGAGAGAAGGAATGGTTTCTTTTGTTTCTCTGAGATACTTCTAAGGTGAGTTCACCCAAGGAGATTGGCCAAGGTGTGTGTGGGGTACAGCCTCTCAGGACTGGGTCTGAGAGGAGTCATCAGGGAAGACTGCCTGGAGGAAGGAGAGCAGTGCCTGGAAGAATCTGGCTAACCTGGGCTGGTTTTTTTTTTGTTCTTTTTTTTTTCTTTACCACAGACCACAAAACAGCCTTTGTTGGCAGGGCCAATGGGCCTGGTCACAGAAAAGTCTCCAGTTGTTCCAGAGACTAGGATGGCCTAAGGGCTGGGGGAGGCTTGGGGCTGCTCGACTTCTCTTTAACGTAGGAAACTGTTTGCTGAGTCCCTGCCTTGAAGACCTCAATGAGTCTCTACCACCACCTTGAATTTTTGTGGCTGTCCAGAACTACCTAAGCCCATCAGGCCCCCAAGCAGGCTTCCTGGAAGGCAATGGCCTCAGATCAAGCAGCTACTTCTCTGAATGAGGTGCTGACTGCAGTGGGAAGAAGGGGCCTCTCTGTTGAAGGTTTCTAGTCTTAGATTCTGGGGCTCTGAGTCACCAGGCCTGATCTCCCCCATCAGCCTAGGAGGTCTTCCCATTCAGGTGGCCAGGCAGGTGGCCTTGGGCGAACTTCCTCCTCTGAAACACTGATAGTTTTTCTTCCTTTTTTTCCCCCTTCCCTGTTCAGAGATTTTTTTCCTTCCTGGGGCTGAGGTCAGGGCACCATAAACAGAATTGATAAAGCCCTGGGCCTTCAATCTGAACTTTGCAGCTGGCATTTTATGACTCTGATAAGGTCTGTCCCTGCCACCCCAGCCCCCACCCTCACGGAGTCCGGCTGGAACAGGATTGCCTAGTGTCTGTCTGAGAGGGAGCAATGGGTGACAGGTCAGGAGGAACAAAGAGAGAGAGATTCTGACCCTTGAGCTCCAGCCTGTTGTCTTGAACTCACTGCCTGAGTCCCTTCTCCTCTTGGGGGATCCAGTTTTGTCCTGCACTATGGAAAGCATGGGTTCTAGTCTTTGGCCCCATGGGAAAAAAGTGAGGACATTTGATGCTGGAAGGTGGAGTCAGCAGGGAGAAGCCAGACTAGGCTGGAACAGTCAGGGAAGGCAGTCTGGAGGAGGTGAAGTAAGATGTGGAAAGATGGAGAACGTTGGGCACTCAAAGCTCAAAAACCAAGCTCACTGCTGAGTTGGAACCGGTTCATAGCTGACCCTCTACTGGGTTTCCGTGGCTGTAAACTGCTCAGGGGGAAAATGCCCATCTTTCTTCCAAGGAGCCACTGATAGAGGTTCAGCCTGGGGTTTAGTAGTGCACCTCCCAGTGGACTAGGCCGGAGAGCTCCCACAAGGGGGAGTAGGGGGCTGATGTGGCCTGATGGGGGGTGAGGCTCCTCTGAAACCATTCTGTTCCTGGCCTGAAAAGGCCCAGAGCAGTGGATGGAGTAGGGTGACAGCAGTGGTTTCAAGGTCCTTGGCTCATCCAAGGAGAAACTGAGTGGCCAGTGGCGAGGGCTGGCAGTGACAATTGAGGAGTCTGTGACACGGAGAGGCTGCAAGTGGTGGCACAGCTGTGGCCCCAGAGTGACAGTCTTATTAGACTTGACGTGCTCCAGAGGTGGGGCTCAGGGCTCTGAGGGCTTCCCAGTGTCCCTGTCCCTAGAGTGTGCAAGGCAACAGCTAGAAGGAAACAGGGATTCCTGCGCTGGTGGAATCTTGGAGATGCTCAAGGCACAGACAGAATGGATGATCCAGATTCCTGCCCTCCGCGCTCCAAACTGGAGCTGATTCCAGATGCTGCCTAGTAACCTGCCTCAGGTTGCAGCACACCCCCCCCCCCATTCCTCTGGGATTAGGGTGGGAACCAGCCTCTTTAAATCTGAGTGGGAGAGAATGAGCTCTGAGCGTTTCTGGTCCCTACTCTGCCCATCTGTAAAGTGAGTGTGGGTGGCTGGACCCTGACTCCTGGGGTCTTCCCTGTTTTCGGTGGGAGATGGTCTATATATATTCCCTGCCTTGATCAGGGTCTGCCCAGCAGCCTGGGTCTCTCTCTGCGTCTCTCCGTCTCTCACACTCATGCACATAAGGGCACGCCCACTCATGGGTACACCACACACGTGTCAGGGGCGCACACGTAAGTGGGTGAGGAGGAAGCAGAGGTGGGAGGAAGATGGGGCTACTGTTTGCTCCCAACTGGCTACCTGCTGCCCTTTGCCAGGCTTGCCCATCTCGGTGGTGAGAGGCTCCCCTCTCCCCTTTCTTCCCAACCCTCAGGAGGTGACTAAGGGTCACAATATACAAGGGAAACCGTCCCTCTCTCCCACCCACGATCTACCAGCCCCTCCCTCTCAGTTCCCTACAGTTCCCGATCCCTCACCCCAGAGGGGACGGGGTGGGCCCTTAACAGAAAGCAAGGGCGGGGGCTACCCTGTCCTCGGTGCCCAGGAGTGGTTGCGCTGGGCACACTCCCCGCTGCAGTAAAGAGGGACACGACGGAACGCGCACCCCAGCAGGGAACGAGACAGGTCGCTCCTGCTCCTTAATCCCTTTATCCAGACGCGTGCATAGACGGCTGGGTCCCACCGCCCCTACACCCCAGCTGTTCGGACTCGGGACGGCCCGAAGGAGGGGGGGGCACTCACCGCGGGCCCGAGGGCGCAGGCAAGGGCGCCGACTAGCGCGCAGAGCCAGCGGGTGGGCGGCGGGCGCATGGTGCACCCCGAGTCTGCGGGGGCTGGCGGCTCCGCGCGGGGCTCGGCGCTCCAAGGCAGGGCGCGCAGACGAGTGGCGCGGCGGCGGCGGTGGCCCCCGAGCTAAGAGGCGCTGCTCAGGGCTGGGGGCGGGCCCCGGGGGGCTCGCCTGATGGGCGGCGGGCGCAGCCAATGGCTCGGTGGGGGCGGGCCGGCGCGCAGGTACAGGGCGGGGCTGGGGAGCCCCAGCGGGTGGGGAGTCCCCGCCAATCCAGGCCGTGCGCGCTGCGCCGGGGACATCCGCAGCCCCTCGCCCCCTCGGGCGCGTCCGCGGGGAGGTCGGCTTCGCCACCACGCCCTTCCTTCCTTGCCGGGCGCACGACGTTCCCAGGGGCTTGAAGCTGCCTCTCCTCTCGCTCGCCCCCTCAACCCCGCACCGGGGCGCTCTCCACGTCTAGCTGCGCAGCCGCCTCCTCCGGGCCGCCTCCCCGCCTGTCGCCTTGTCTCCCCCTTCCGCGCCTCGCTCGTGCGCGCCGACAGGAAGTGTCATTCCTTTTTTTCCCTTGGTTGCAAGTTGCAGCCCACACAGGGCCCAGAGCTGAAAGCGCCGTGAGGTTGGTGTGACGCGCTGGAGGATCCCCGACACCCTCAAAGTCTCCCATAGCGCCGGAGAGGCTGGACGGGAGCCAGCGAGGGCGCCCTCGACGCCCCACCCGGCCCCGGGGCGCCCTGCCGCGGTGCGCTCCGCGCGACAGGCGCGGGCCGTTCCCGTACTGGGACCTCGGGCGCCCCTGCGCTCTCGCCCGGGCATCTCCGGAGGGACCGCGGGGCCGAGCTGCCAGCGCCCCCGCGTGGGGAGGGAAGCCTGTGCCCGCGCACTGGCCTCGATTCTGCGCACCAGACCTCAATCCAACCAGAGACTTCCTCCTGACGGGGTTTTCCAGCTGGGGAGACAGAGGACCCGAGAGAGCCCCGCACTCAGGCCTCCTGCCTCTGGTGCGCGTCTCCCTCCACCAGCAGCCCCAACGCTCCGTTTATTTTAACACTAGAATGGGGCGCAGGGTCACTGGTGCCCCACCCAGGAGCCCGTTCTTTGAAGACAGTTTTCCGATCTAGGCTGGAGGCAGCAGTAGTGGCTGCTGGAGAGAGTGAAGCGGAGAGGTGAATGTCATGCGGGCGGGCTGCGTTGGGAGCGCTACAAGGCTCGAAGGACTGCATGTCCCGGAGGACTTTACAGTTCCTTGTAGAAGTTCCAGCTCCTCGCGTTGGCTGACCCACCCCACGTGCATGCAAGACCCCAGAGAGCTATTGGACATCTATTGGACCTTCAGAAATGGGATGGGCTAGGGGTGTCAGGGAATACCGGGGAAGGGATGAGCGCTCTATTCTGTGCCCCTCCTGTTTTCAGTTGATTCCGGAGTGTCCACATTTGCTTTCTCTCCTCTTTGTATTCTGCTTTGGGGGCACAGAGGTGGACATGGTAGGTTGTCCTCCTTGCCAGAGCTGAGAGGTGGGAGTCTGTTGCTTTCCCATTTCCATACCTCGGAGGTAATCAGTGACCCTGGACACAGATATAGGAATTCTGAGGGGATCTCTGCCCGAGCTTTCATGGGACTTCTCTGTCCCACCCGTCAAGTGTCCAGTGGAGTGAGTGAGTGGTGGCAGCTATGCGCGCTCCTGGGGCCACTGTGAGTCCTCGCCCCTCCTTTCTCATACTAACTGTGCCTGTCTTAGCTCTTAGTTCACTGGTAGGGCAGCCTTTATTCTAAGTCACCTTCACTGGCACGGTGTTCTAGGAGGTCCTGGGTATAAATAGCAAATCTACAGGTTTCATTTGCTCGCCCCAGTCCTCAACACATATCCACACACAGACAAACACCACCTAGCCAGCTGCAGAATGCGGAAACCTCACCTCTAATGCTGGCCTTCTGAAGTCTCTGATCTCTGAGGACAGGGGTCTTGGATACTGGGGAAGTTACTAAGGGCAGGGGTGGGATGAAACCAGATTCCATTTTGCCATGTGACATTCCAGTCTTGTCTAGGCAGGTGGGTGCAGGGATGGAGAGGACTCAGGTGGGCAGGGAATCTTGGGGCTACCACGGGGGCTGTCTTTGGGGGGTGTGCACTGGTCAGAGACGATGAAATGGTTAACTGAGCCTGTTGGCTCCCTTGGAGACTCAGGGAGCATCATTTCCCTGCAGATTCTTTGCAATGAAAATCTTCCTTTGTTCTTTCAGTGCTGTTCCCTTAGGGAACCCATCCTTTTTTACCTGTCAAAGGGAGTGCATGGGGCGTATACACACACACACACACACACACACACACACACACACCCAGAAGCAAAACAAAATAGCAAAACACACTCAAAAAACAAACTCACTAACAGATCTGTTGTTGTTGTTAAATGCTGTTGAATCGCTTGCGACTCATAGCAACCCTATGTACAACAGCCCTAAACCCTGCTCTATCCCTTGCCAATTTTATTGTCTCAGACATGCCTATCCTCATTACCCCAGAGACAGAATCAATCCATCTCATCGATGGTCTTCCTCTCCTGCACTGTTCCTCCACCCTCTCAAGCATGATGTCCCTCTTCAAGGACTGACCTTGACTTGCAACATGTCCAAAGTATGTCAGGTGGAGCTTCAGAATCTTTGCCACCAAGGAGCAGCCTGGCTTCACCCTCTCCAGGACAAACCTGTTTGTTCTCCTAACAGTTCATGGTATATTCAATATTCTTCTCCAGCACCAAAGCTCAAAGGCATCAACTCTCCTTCTGTCATCCCTACTCATTGTCCAGCTCTGTGATGCATCGCAAGTAATTACAAAAACCATGGCCTTTATCAGGTGCACCTTAGTCTCCAGGCTGACATCATTGCTCTTCAGAACCACCTTGGAGTGGTCCCTGACAGCAGACTTTCCCAATGGAGCTCATCTTTTCATTTCCTGGCTGCTGGTACCAAGAGTGTTGATTGTAGAGTCAAACAAACTGAAGCTGTCAACAATCTCAGTCATGATCATCATCCATCATCCATCATGATGTTGTCATGCGGCCCAGTGAATCTGTTACCGTTGAGTAAGTCTACCTCATGGGCCCTGCATCTGGTTTCTGAAGCCGTGAAGCCCTATGGTAGAAGACTGCCCAGCATTCTGCCTCAGAGAGACCTGTGGATTCAACCCGCAGACCTTTTGGTTAACAACTTGACACGTTGAATGTCATGCCACCAGAGCCTCAACAAACAAAAGACTTGCAAGAATTCAACCAAAGTGAAATCTGCCCATGTCTCCATGAATTGTTTCCAGGTGGCCTGTCCTGTGTTTTGGGACACTAGGAGATGCCCCCCCCCAACCTTCTGCCTATTCTTGGGGAGTCCTGTGAGGTCTGATGAGGAAGGGTATTTTTGCTGGGGCATTTGGGAAGGTTTCTGAGAAGGGGTGTGCTATTAGTAGAGCTTGGTGATGGTGGGGTTACCAGAGAAGATGGGGAACAGGAACTTAAGAAACTCCGCTACATGACCCAACCCTGCCCCTCTATCCACAGTATATTTCCCTCACTAGTCCAGGCTTAGAAACGGGGTTACAAACTGCTCCTTGGTCTTTGCTCCCCAGGTATTCTGCACTGAGGTGTTGCATGCTGGGCTCTCTCCCCTCCTTGAGGCCTGGAATCAGCCCCTGGCCATTTTCCAGATGTAGGGAGTTACAGGAGTCCAGATAGTGTTGGAGATAGGAGGGAAGACAGAGAGGCAGAGTCACTTACTGTCCCCTGGGATGACGGGCACAGAGAGGAGGCAATCTGTAGTTATTCATCAGGGACTTGCCTGATTTCCTGGCTGCCTGCCTGGTGCCTGGGGTGGGAGCCACCCTCGCCTCCTTGACTCCTTCACCCACTTTCCAGAGTCGTGCACTCGCCGCCTTCAAGGCTCCCAGCTCAGGAGCTCAATGATGCAAAGTTTTGCAGTGATGGGGGAGGGATGGCTGGGAACCACAGAGTAGCTTTGATCTGTGTAGCAAACAAAGGTAAGATAGGATCAAAAGAGAGGGAAATATCACTGCGCCAGGACTCCTCTCTAGAGCAGCCTGCATTGCTATGTGGCTGTGGACAGATTTGCCTTCTCTGGGCACCCGAGTTGAAGGGACCTGAGCTTTTGGTCTTTAGCCGTTAAACGCAGGTCCAGGACAGGAACTGTTCATCTCTTCCCCAGGCCGCTCCCTGTTCAAGTGGAACTAATTCTGCAAGAGGTTCTGGAAAGTATTTTAGAAAGAACTGTTTTCTTTATTCCTCTGTATTTGCATGCACTGTGTATCACCCCTAATACACCCCTGTGTATTACCTGATGGAGACTGAGGTTTGACTGCGACAAAAGTAGGAGCTGTGTCCCTCAGAAGAGCCTAGTGTTGCCGTGACAGGTTTGAGGCATTTTTCTGACATTTCTGCAACTGCTCACACCTTAAAGTCATCACGTAGAAAGAAAACAAAGCTCCTGGGCGTGCAGGTGATGCAGGGAGAATTGACCTGACTCTACAGATGGGAAAAAGCTCAGAGACAGTTGTTGTAATAACTTGCACTGCCCCTTGGTCCTGGAGACTGGGACTTGGCGCTCCAAAGGAGATGGGAGAGGTAGATAGACGTTCAGGCCATCTGGTGAGTTTAGATGGACTTAGGTGGAGTGTTGGGGGTTTGTTGGTGGACAGCAGGACCTTGTGAATAATGAAGAGGGAGAAAGCAGGCTTGGTAACTGGAGTCTCAGACTGCCATGTGGATCTGACAGAATGTGTAGCAGTCCCACAGTGAGCTCCAGGGCACACAGAAGCTGGCTTCGCTGGCTCAGCCCGTGACTGGGGCTGTCAGAGTGGTGAGCGTGCCTGGGCTCAGATGCCTTGGTGGACTCAGAAGGGCTGGCAGCCCGCAGTTCTCCTGAAAGCTGAGCGGCAAGCTCTTTCCACCACCCAAGGGACACTGAGGCATGGAGAATGACTCTTTGGAGTGGAAGAGAGTAGACAAAGGAAGAGGCGATGAGGAGACCTGGGTGATTCTGTAAGGAACATTTTGTCTGTGCAGAGAGGGGTGGCCGTGGAAGGCACCTCTCTGCCCACTACTGTGCCAGGGCTCCAGACGGTCTGGGAACAAAGAGGGTGTTGTCTGAAGGCTGTCCTCATGCAGCCTGGCATGGGGGTCATGATGCAATGAGTCTTGGAGGAGCCGACCCTTCTCCCAATAGCTGTTGCAGTTTCTTCATCAAATGTTCAGTGTGGAATCGATGTGTATGTGCACATGTGTCTGTGTGTCCTAGTGCTGCTCGAACAGAGACACCACACGTGGATGGCTTTAACAAGTAGAAGTTTATTCTCCCGCAGTTTGTTGTTTTTGTTATGTGTCATTGAGTGTCAGGGAGGAACTGACACAGAGCTGACCCTCTAGTGGGATTTCAGAGGCTGTAAAACACACGAGAGGGGATTGCTTATGTTTCTTCCACGGAGCGGCTGGTAAATTCCCAACCAACTCCTTACCCCTCGGCCGTGACAGCTGCCTTCTCTCACAGTTTAGGAGGTCAGAAGTCCAGATTCAGGGGCAGGGAAGACCCTTTCTCTCTCTGTTGAGGAGGAAAGTCCTTGTTTCCTTCAGTGTCCCAACATCCAACATTCAGATCTGTTGTCAACCGAAGGAAAAGACAGGGACGAGGACACTCAGGAATGGAGGTCAGGCCAGAAAGTCTGACGGCAGGGGGCTAACAGCTGGGAGAACTGCAGCCCCTGTGTTAGCCTTTCTGGGTTTTTATTGAGAATTATCAGGAAGTAAACAAAAGAGAATCAAAAGGGAGTAAACAAAAACAAAGGATCATGGGGAAGTCCTTTGCAAATGAATAAAAATGTAAACATAAAAGAAAAATGACATAGTTCTAGAGATGTTTATTGTTGTTGTTGTTGTTATTGTTGTTGTGTACCATAGAGTAGAAACCAACCTCACCCATGCTGACCCTCCAGCAGGTTTTCAGAAGCGGTTAATCACACGGAAGGAGATTGCCCATCCTTCTCCCGTAGCGCAGCTGGTGGTCTCGAACCATGTGCCTTTGGGAATGCAGCATAACTTCTTGTCACTAGGCCACCAGAGTGATGAGAAGATGATATACAACTTAATGACAATATATGTGACTATCTAGGTGAAAGAGTTGCTTTTCTAGAGAGACGTATGTGGTTTCATTTGTCTCTGAAAAAGGCATCAGGCCCAGATGGTTTTATAGGTGAAGTCTATCAGTGTCACTGTGTGACACTCTGAACACTCTGGTCTGAAGGTGGGCTCTGGGACTCAGGCTAGAAGATTGGACAGCGAGCAAGAGACCTGGGCTGGGTTGAGAGGACTCGCTCTGTCCCCTCCTCGGTCCCTCACCCTGGGCACAGATGCCCAGTAAAGTGGTCTTTGGGATTTGTACAGCCTGAATATGCCCACAGGCAAACAGCCATATTCACTGAATGCTTATTTTTATCCCTGTGGTTGTTACAAGCATCCCAGACCTGTTCTCTGACATTGGGAGCATGTGTCACCTTCTCTTTTGAGACAAGTCATTTCAGGGTCCCAGGAGGAGGACAAGGACATGGATGGCAGCCTACAGGA